AATCTGCTGAAGCCATTATTAGCCATCCACTAGTCCTTATTCCTTCTGTTCCTGCTGGGTCCTGTGAGCTTGTCAACTATGACCTTAACTTTGAGGATAGTTAGATGGAAGGGAAAATTTCCTCTAGAGTACCCCAACTCTCAGAAAACCACCCCAACCTGTCTGCTCAGCTCTGTGCTGCAACTGACTATGCAGCTTCCCAGTGTAGCTGTAGATTCAAGGTCAACCCCTCCCTCAGCACAGGGCCTACAGGAAGAGCCCTTGGCACACGCCTGCCCTTCCTCAGGGGCCTTTGGTGTCTGTAATGGTTTAGGTATGAAATGTCTACCCAAAACTCCTCCCGGGTTACAGTCTTGGTCCCAGCTGGTGAATCCAAAGGTTGAGAAGTCACTGGGTGATTGAGGGTTCTGACCTAATCCATGAGTGTAATTCTGATGGGTACAGAATTTGATGCCATTAGTGGGAGATTAAGGGAACACCCCTCCTGTCGGCCATGAGGTTTTAGCCACATGCTCCCACTCCCATGATGTTCTTGTCCGTGCGAGTAGCTAGTGCACTGTCTTTCTCCTGGGCGAACTCCTCAAATCCAAGTGACTTCCCAGCTGCATTCTCTTTTCAGGCTCCCATGGGAGGCAAACGGGAGACTGTGCTGCAGAAAGGCAACTAATCGTGAGCCATTCAGGCGTTTAAAATACACAGCAAATCCGGCCCAGTCAACACGTCTGTGCTAAAGTGTGAGGAGCGAATACACAGACTGAGTGTAGATGGAAGTCCCCCACCCCCGCCCCGACTCCATCGTTACCCTCCAAGCTGTAATCTTATCGTGTTTAGCTGGTTCCACATAAGCAGATCTAGGTATATTTTCAGCTGAAACCTGTTAGGAACAGATGTGCACATGGCTACCCAGTGCTGATCCATGGAAGTGTGTTTTTCCATCAACAGCTTCAGCTCTGTCCCTTGAAGGGAAAAACAACTAAAAGAACTCCCACTGAAGTGGGTATCACACTTCTCTGGGTTCTGTGTAGCTTGGAGTTGTCATTGGTTTCCAAACAGAAATCTGGCGCACGTGACCATGAGAACAGAGGATATGTTTGGTGGACAGTGTTGGCTGCGGGTGGAGTGAGGGTGAGTCAAACCCTCGAGTTGTGCCCTGCACCTGTGCCAGCCTTTCGTTGGGAACTACAGATCCTCCAAGCTGAGGCTTGAGAAAGTTCTTCACCACACAATGCCTGGCAGCTTGGGTTTTAGTTGAGTCCAGATGCAGTTAGTGAAAATTAGCCACACATGGAAGAACATACTGTCTGATTTTATGTGAAGTACTTAGGGTGGTCACTTTCAGGTAGAGATGTAGGGTGGCAGCTGACGGGGGGGGGGGGGGGGCTGAGAGGAGGGGAGCGGGCAGGGACTGCTCATTGGCTAGAGAGTTCCCATTTTGCAAGTGAAGAGAGGCCTGGGCATTGTGTTGCACAGTGGTGGGAAGGCATGTAACACTACAGAGAAGGAGCTAAAGAAAGGAACTCATCCATGTAGAAGCCAGGGTTAGACGAGATAGGGCGCGTTCAGGGTGGTACAGTACCCATCCCAAGTATACACACGGACTTTGGACTCCCATAGAACAATGTGAGGTGCACTCTCACCCTGAACTCTTGGGAAAGGGTCTAGGCCCTGCCCTATATGAAATGACAGACTATGGACACCCCCATGGAGGGCCTCACCCTCCCTGGGGAAATGAGGGGAATATGGGGGGGTTGGGGGGAGGGCACGGGAGGAGGGGAGGGAATGGGAGAGGGACCTGGAACTGACTTGTGAAGCAACCTTGTTTCTTATCTAAATTTAAACTGGAAAATAAAAAAAAATAAAATATGGACACTCTTTACATCAACTGGATTTATATAATAGTAATTGTATCTTGGTGTGTACCTTCAGTCATTTCTGTATTTGTTAGGTAATTATTTCTCTTTTTTAAAAACTGCATTAAAATAGTAGACCAATAAATGTATTTGTATTGAAAAAAAAAAAGAAGCCAGGGTTAGTGACTTTGCTTGCTGCTATGGCTAAATATGTGACAAGAAGCAATTTAAGGGGGGGGGTGGTCTTTTTTGATTTTTGGCTTACAGTTTGAGGGTGTAGTCCTTCTTGGTGGGGAAGGGCTGGCTGAAGGAGTGTGAAGTCACTGGTCAGGACGCTGAGGGAGATAATGCTGATGCTCGGCTTGCCTTCGCCTTGTTATTCAATCCAAGCCCCAGCCCATGGCAGGGTGCTACCTACAGTTAAGGGACATCTTCCCACCCCAATGAATCTTTCTAGAGAATCCCTCACAGGCATTATGCAGAGGCTTAGGTGACTGTGGAGCCTGTTAAGGAGGTTATATTATCACTTAGGGATGGATGAGTAAGATGTGGCCCAGGGCTCACACTGGTTGTATCTCAAGCACAGTGAGGAAAGATGGGTCATGTTTGCTCAGGTTGCAATTCCCAGCAGCAGTTCTCAGGTGGCCCTCTCTCTTTTCCTCCAACAGCTTAGCAACCACCTAGGCCTTGCACTAACATAGGGCCATCTGTGACGTGTCCTCACTGGACACTGTGACTCTGGACTCTGTCCCTTGCAGCTGCTGCTACCTTCAGTGGTCTCTGGGTGAAGCAGAGTTCACGTTGTCCTCCAGTCAGCAGATCTGGTGGCTTTGCGTTAGCATGGGGAAGGGGGAAAGGAGATCTTAGGTGGGAATAGTATGGACAGTGGGCCATCAGAGTGAGGGGCCACCGCTTCCAGCCGCAGACCACTCCCATTCTGTTAAAAGGAGGGTAAGGGGCTGAGGAGAAAAGTGTTTGTCACACAAGTACCCACATAGATAAAGGCCAGGTTCTGGGGAGGCAGAAACAGGCAGATCCACGTAGCTCCCTGAGTGAGTTCAAGGCCAGTAAGAGATTTTGACTCAAAATTAAGCTGAACAGGGTTTGGCTGTATTGTCTCTTAACATCCTTTGGAGCTGCTGTCTTCCTAAATTCTGTCGAGCCCTGCTGCCTCTCCAGAACATACTATCATGGGAATGTAACGTGCTTGTGTTTCTTAGTGTCTGTCAGGACTTCTAGAGTTGAGATAACTTCAGACTGTTGCTAGACCAGGCCACCTGACAGGACAGGGCCCGTAGAGAGGTGTGAGCTTTGCTGAGCAGAAAGGAGAGTGGCTAGCTTCCTGGGTTAGAGCAGCTTCCCGCCCCCCCCCCAATAGAACTCATTTGTCTTAATGAGGAGCAGAGGACAAGACCAAAGCATTCACTAGCACTTCCAGGAAGAAGAAAGAGCACACTTGCTCTTATACTGGCGTCTTGATAGCTGCAGAGCTGACTGGGAAAGACTCTGGAGGAGAATTCTGCAGCCTGGTAGAGGGAGGAGGCTTCACCGGCTTCTCTCTGGCTGCTCTAAGGGTGCCAGCTTCCAGGTGCCCAGCCCCTGTCACCTGCTTAGTAACTGGTGGCATGAGGTTTAGACTTGGTTTTTGAAAATCTTAAGTGTGTCCCAGCTTAGTCCAGGAGACAGGAGTGTTCCCAATATCGGCAGTCTCAGGTTCACTGAACTAACTGTGTTCTTCCCTGGCAATTTTGGCTGTTCTCCCTTTCCCCAAAATAAACATTGACAGGTCTTGATTTCTACAACCAACTCTCTGGAGTTTCCTGAAGAACGATGCCACCCAGTTTCTTTACACACTTGGCTCAAGCTAGTATAGGATAGGCCTTCTTTCTCTAAAAAAACATTTGTGGCTGGGTGTGGTGGCTCACACCTTTAGTCCTAGCAGTTGGGAGGCAGAGGCAGATGGATCTCTGAGTTTGAGGCCAGCCTGGTTCACAAAGCAAGTTCCAGGGCAGCCAGGACTATACAGAGAAACCCTGTCTCAGTAAAAAGGAAAGTTTGTGTGTGCATGCATGTACACATGTTATATGTACACCAATGCATGTATGTGCTTATCTATGTACTTATAAGTACTGCATTGGGTTTCTCCCATGGCCATTCCTGGCTTTTTGCGGGGCACTAGAGATCTGAAGTCAGCTTACTATGCTTGAGTAGGGAGAGCTTCATTCACTGAGCCATCTCCCCAACCCTGAAGCAGCATTTCTAAGCACAAGTTAGAAACTGCCAAAATGTAGGCCATTCCTGGCAGTATAGGAGTTCAAGTGGGAAACTTGAAACCATTCAGCCTGTGAGCAGGTGCTCCGACTGGCTCGGGAAGATGTGGTCCATCATGATCCCCAAAGAGAGGCCAATCTTTCCATCCCTCATTCCATCTTCTCTCGACTGCTTTCAGATTCCCGTCATCACTCACATTGCTATCCCAAATCACTACGTTTTCAGAATCTATTCACGGACATCCATTACTATCCCCAAATATTGCCTAGATCAGCATAATAGGTGCATTCTGGGTGCTTACCCCCAACATGACTGGCAGCTTTGTGACCTTTCTTTCCAGCCACAAATGAAAGGGGACTTACAAGACATGTGCACGCCTGACTAACGCACACATTCTTCGTGAAAAACAGGATAAATTACAGAGAATGGCAACGCAATGATTACAGAAAGGTATATGAGGCAGAACCCATTAGCGAGCTGCATTTTGTTCAAAACTGAGAGAGTGGCAGGCAGAATAACACGCCTTTGTGCTGGAACCCACTCAGCCATAGCAATGAGTAATAACGCAGCCGGGGATCTGTGCGCGTTTCCCCCCTTTTGTGCCTATTTTCATAAGCTAATAACTCAAGCATGGAAATTGGTTCATGCTGAACCCTGGTGGTAGGAGCTGGGCAAACGGTGTGGGAAACAATTTGTTGTTGCTACTTAATTTAGCCTGACTGCTTTGAAGCAAAAAGTGGTGATGACACCGTGGATTTTCTCCAGTGATGTGTTCTCGTCAAACCCAAGACGGTCTGGATTTTGTTACAGCAGGTTCACTTTTAATGACAGCGGGGAGCCGTTTCTCTTCTCACAGGTGTTCGTTTCTGTTTGGTGCAGGTGGGATTGCTGCGGGGGCAGGGATTGAGTCAAACCTTGGAAATGACGTCATTCTGGACTCACCTGCCTTCACCCGGAAGACTCCCACCCCACCAGCAAATGTAAGGACGGGCAGAATAGCAGCTGCTCTAGACAAAGAGGGGAGGGCCCTCATTGTGGGTTCTGGTTGATTTCTATAGCAAAAGGAGCAAGAGGCACCAGAAAGGTAGTCACTACTCTCACCCCTACCTGTGGGGAGGGACCAGGGACCAGGTTTCATGGGCCTGTTCTTTGGATGAGACAGGAAATCTTCAAGAGGAAGAAAGCATGGAGTACCCACAGCCCTCAAATAAATGGTTACTTTTACATGTTACATGTTACAACATGCCAACTTTAAAAACTAAAAACCCAGCTGAAACACAACTCACAAATACTGAATCCTATCTTTAATTTCATAGCCAAGCAAAGTTGAGGGACAGGAGAGAAAGGGATCCACAGATCAGTAGTGTCCAACATCTTTCTCATACCCAAAAGGAGACTCCCAGGCCAGTATGCAACAATTATTATCCCACAGCACAGTTGAGTCTCCCTTATTCTGGGCACCGTGCAGAGTAGACAGAGAAGAGCATAATGCCCACAGCGGCCCTGCCCAACCCCAGGAAGGGTGTGGATGGCACCTGCGGGTCTGAAGGAAAAGCCAGTCAGGCAGGTAGGCATGGAGGTAGGGCACAGACATAAGCAATACATTCTTCACAGGATACATTTAAATCTATTCATTTGCATTTTTATGTGCATCGCTGTTTTGCTTGCATGTATGTCTGTGTAAGGGTGTTGGATCTCTTGGAGCGGAAATTACAGACAATTGTAAGATGTCATGTGGGTGCTGGGAATTGAACCCAGGTTCTTCCAGAAGAGTGGCCAGTGCTTTTAACCGCTGAGCGGTCTCTCCAGCCCCCACAGGGAGCATTTTAAGGCACACCCCCAGCCAAGGTTCATTGGAAAGGATAACAAAATTCTCTCCTACCAATTTGCCACCGTTCAAAGGCAATTTAATAATGTTTATTCTGTTATTAGAAAATTGTTCCACTTGTGAATCTTTAGTACTATTCCTCCCGGGGGACTTTATCTTTGGAGTCTCTCTTTTCCTTCCCCTCTCTCTCCCCCTCTCTGTAATTTTAAATAAACTTTGAGAAGGGTGAGAACTGACCTACTATAGGTAGCTGAACTAGGTAGGTGTCTTGAATCAGTTTAGCTCACTCTGGTAGATCTGTGTGCTTGCAAAGGCCACCATGAGCCTGCATCGTGGGTCTGTTAGCTAGAATCCTAGCTAGCCAGTACTAAAAATACTCATTGATGTAGTTGAGCTCTGGGATTACACAGGACTTCTAGGCCGACAGCTCTGTTTATGAGCTGGTGCTCCACTTAAAAAGAAATAATAGAAGGCTCACACAGGCCTGGGCGTGCATTGATGCTTTGCCTGAGTGTATGTCTGTGTAAGAGTGTTTGGGGTCTCCCATGGGAACCCGGACAGTGTAGATGCAAAGTACTTCTTAGAGACTCTCACCCTCTCCTGCCCCACCTGGGGACTTTTACACAACCTTGTTGCTTCCAAAGACACAAAACCTCAGGGTTCCTGGCACAGAGTATTGGCTTCTCACTAACACAGCATCCTACCCTTCCCCTGCCCCTGCCTGCAGCCAGAGGTTTGGTCCTCGGAGAATTCTCTACAGTAGATGGCTGGTAGTCTGTGCCTTGCAGTCTTTAGCTCTCCTTCAATTAGACATTGTGTTGTGTTACCTTTCCCAGCACCCAAAAGGAGAGAGGAGCGACAGAGCAGCACCTTATGGTCTAGCAGATTATTTCTAAACCAGAGCTACCCCTGCTCCCTGAAGAATGGCGCTTGCTCTTGCTGGAGGCAGCAGTAGACAACTGAATTCATTCACAGGGTGGGGGGACGGACACTGGATTGGGAAAGTGGAAGACAGTGGGGACTTTGTGAGTTCCGAACCCCATTGCTTTGGAGAAAGGTTTCTCTGTTCTGGGTCCAGGCTGGCACTTAGTCAAGGTCCTGCTTCTTGTTTGTCCCCAGCCCATGGGTGCACTATGGTATCTCACTGTGGTTGCTAATATGCAGATAGTCCTCATCTTCTGCACATTTGCCCTAAATATTTCTCCTTTTTATTTTTTAAAATAACATTCAGTGTGAGTGTGTGTGTGTGTGTGTGTGTGTGTGTGTGTGTGTGTGTGTGTATTTCTCCAGTGTGGGTTGGGTCCTAGGAATTGAACTCAGATTGTCAGGCTTGGCAACAAATGCCTTTACTCTCTGGGCCATCTCACTAGCCCATATTATATATATATATTTGACACTATTGTAAATGAGTTGCGTAGGTTTTCTGATCTATAAGCTAATGTCTTTTATTAAATTTGGGAACTACTGAGCCATTGTTTTATTGTGTATTTTTTCACTCCGTCTCCTCTCTTCCTCTTTCAGAACCCCCAGTGCCCTACGAGTCAGGCTTTGGTCCCTGGGACTCCATTCAACCCCCAACCCCCACTGTAGATGGAAGTTTCTGTCCTGCACCATCCTGCAGTCCCCCAGGTCATCTCTAGCTGGGGGGGGGGGATTGATTTTGATTATATCATTTTCAGTCCTTAGATTTCCATTTTCTCTTATCTATTGTTTTCATTTGTTTCAAGCGTACACGAGTGCTGTCACTGCTCTTTGTAGCATTCTTATGATGGATGCTCTAAAACTAAAGTGTTTGTCAGATGGGGCTGAGTGTGCTGCACACCTTTAATCCCAGCATTTAGGAGGCAGAGGTAGGCAGATCTCTGAGTTTGAGTCAAGTCTGCTCTGCAGAGTGAATTCCAGGACAGCCAGGGCTACACAGAGAAACCCTGCCTTGAAAAACAAAACAAACAAACAAACAAAAGAATTTTGTCAGATAATATTGCATCTCAGTATTAGAATTTATTGTCCCTTCTTCATTCAGTTTAAAATATTCCTGGATTTTAGCATGCATATTTTCCATAGAGATCCTGACATTTGAGCATCTTATATTTTGTCTTCCATTTATAACTGGCTTCCTAACAGAGCTCCCTCACATAGGAGAGGCTGGGGTGTGGGAACCAGCTCATTAAGGCCAGGTAGGGGTGGAAGCCCAGGTTCTATACCAGCTTCTGCTGGCATCTGAAGAGTTGGTCTCCTTATCCCTGGTGGGGTACAAGTCCAGGCTCCCTGATAATGTCTACCTGACACCAGGGAGACCTGTTGCCCTTGGACATGGATGAAAAGTCTCAGCTCTCTATTCAAACTTCTTGAGTACCAAACTGGAGAGGGATGGGTGAGCAGAGGAGTTCCCCTGGTGACCGTGGGAATCCAGGTGTGTCGCCCCCCACCACCACTTAGCCTTTGCCTATGGGGTGGGCTCGTGCTGTGTGTTTTCTGTAATGGAGCCTAGAGTGGAATGCTATTGCCTGAGACTGTCTGTCTTCTAGACCACCCCTTTCTAGGAGAGAGTAGGTTTGAACTGATCGCCTGTGTCTAAATATATGAGACAAACGAACAGAGAAAATGCTCTGCCATGGTGTTCCTCTGGTCCCGAGGTTGTTAGTTTGTCTTCTCTCTTCCTTCCAGAGCCTTTTGTATTCTCCCTATGTAATAATACCCAGACTTCCTAGCGATGCTCTGCAGGAGGGAGAGACAGGAATGTCTGCTTCCTGAAAGTGTAAGTTTTCATTTTTTCTTATGGAAAAGCAAAAACAAACAAGAAAACCAAACCCAAACAAAACAAAAAAACCTAGATTACCTTTGCCTGCTTTAGACTGTCATGTGATGAATGGAAATAAGGATTGTGCTCTCGTCTCTGCTGTGTTTGGAGTCTATTCTTGTTTTATAATTCATCCTTTCTATTGCTGAGTGCTGACCAGTATGTTGTATGTAGACATGCAGCAGCTTGACCAGAGTCCTGTTGAACATCTGAGTAGTTTCTGATTTGGGTTATTACGAATAGAGCAAAGAAGAGTTATTTTAATAAAGTGATCTCCCTAAACATACAGTACTAAGTAATAACAATGTTTCAAAATAAACATTTATTTGTGACATGCTGTCCTAGTTTTGTTCTGTTGCTGTGATAAAACACTCTGGCCAAAAGCCACTTAGGGGAAGACAGGGTTGATTTGTCTTTCTCTTACAGGTCACAGTCCTTCATTAAAGGAAGTCAAAGCAGGAACGAAGCAGAAACCCTGAAGAACACTGTTTGCTGGCTTGTTCAGCTTCATGCTCAGCCAGTTTTCTTACACAGCCCAGGAGCACAGGCCTAGGGAATGATGCTACCCACGGTGGGCTGGGATCTATACCAAGTAACTAGTCAACCCCCACAGGCGTGCTCTCAGTCCAATCTAATCTAGACAATCCCTCAATTAAGACTCCTTTCTCAGGTGACTCTAGGCCACATTAAGTCAACAATTAAAACCAGTAGGGTTGGAGTTGGCTCGTGCTTAAAAGCACTTGTTCTTGCAGAGGACTTGGGTTTAATTCCCAGCACCTACAAGGTTGCTCACAACTGTCTATAACTCTAGTTCCAGGAGATCTGATGCCTCTTCTAACTTCTGGCACCAGGCACCAGGTATGGCAGTGGAGTTGGAAACGCACAGTCACATGTGGTGCCTAGAGCTTCAGGTGTGTGTGCTGTATATAGGCCACATTTTGTCTCTTTCTGTAACTGAGAGCTTGGTGAAGGCTCATCAGCCCACACGTTCTGTTGTCACCACCATACCCTCAGAAGAGCTGCGGGTCCTGTGCAAATCCAGACCCAGTCACTCTTTAGGTGTTAATCCCATTTAACTTTTGTAGTACTGGGGACCAAGGAGCTGTCTCCCTGTCCTCCTTTTTTAATTTCTGAGACAGGGGAGTGCTAAGTTCCCAGGCTAACCTCGAACTCACTCTGTAGCCCAGGCAAGACCTGAGCTTAATAAAATCCTCTTACCTCATCCTCCTGAGTAGCTGGGATTCCAGGCTTAAACTACCAGGCCTGGTTTAATTCATTTAGTTCTCACAGCAACCTCATCACAGTGGCAGGCGGTTTAGTACACTTTGCTTCTAGATGGAACACTGGAGATGTGGAGAGGTTAGCCAGGTGGCCCAAAGTTGGTGAGAAGTGAACACAAAACAGTAAGTTAGACTTGTGTGGCTCCAGTTACCTTGCTTTTCCCCTTCCTTTTTGCTACAAGGTTTATTGTTTGAATAGAGTGTCTGCTGGGGATCAGAGTTTGAAGAAGTCTGAAGAAGGTTCTAGAATCTATCTTTTCCTTGGTTTCTAAGAAAGAAATGGGGGAGGAGCCAGTCCAGTGTCAGTTCTGGGATTGGAATTCTAGGAAGGATTCAGTCTGTGGACCTCCATCCACATGGAAGGCGCAGGGGGTCAGGGCTCAAGGGAGATGGGGGGCATGATAGCTGCTTGGATTCTGGAGATGGAAAAGCCTGGGCTCAAATCCAGACTCGACTGACAGACACTGAGTTTGGGCATACTGCTGAGTTCTCCCATTTCCACATTTACAAAATGGTGACTAACATCTCCCTGGAGATTTGCTGGGTAAGTATGTCAAGACAAACACGTGAAGTGTTTAGACGCTATCAGGCCCACAGCAAATGCCTAATGAGTACTGGGAGCTGTTTTTGTTCGCCATTGTTCTGGAAAGCAAGACCCAGTGACACAGGGAAGCAGAGACACACTACAAGAACAATGCCTCCAGGGGCAGAGGTGGCCAGCAGCTGCCCAGGCTGCTGCCTTGTTCCTGCAAGGCCCTGAAGGAGGGTATTGGTGTAGGCGGCCCAACTCCCCATATAGATGAGACTGTGTGACCTGTGGGGTGCCTTCCAACCTGCAGAGGTCAATTTGCTTCTTTGCTTCTGTAGCTGCCCTCCGGCAGCAGCGGTGGAGGAAGAAGCAGCTGGGCTTGGCGCTCAGCCACTCCAGCTGTCGTCTTTGGTGACATGTTTATCTGCTCCAAAGGGATATAGATGGCTGAGCAAGGAGGTGTGCAGGGGCCTGGACTCTACACACAGTGACCTGCCAGCTTAGGTGAGGTTGCCACAGACAGCAGGCAAGGGTCCCATCACCATGGGCTGTGATGCCCTCTACATGCTCTGTACCAACGAGAGGCAGTTTGCAAACTTATTATAAACAGATTACATTTCGTATCCTAATGTGGCTGCTGGCTACCTGCCCATGATTTTTAGCCTCCAGGAAAGAAACAATTCCGTGAGCCGAGTGTTCTGCACTTTGACTCTGCATATGCTTCTTAAGGTTTCTCCCAGGTCCCTTTAACAACCCTCCCCCTCTCTTCTTCTTCCTTTCAGAAAGCTCTCTCCTCTGGGCTTACCCAGAAATGCTGGAAGCTGCTCTCTGCCCAGCCAAAGCCAATGAGCTGTCCCCCTCCACCCACCTACCCCCATGCTGAGCCAGGAATCCAGTACAAGCCAAATGCCCACAGAATCCCAGAACAATGGGGAAGCTGCCTCCATGTCCAAGGAGCAATCTGCCACCGGTGACATGGTGACACCTCTGCTTTAGACAGGTGGCCACCCAGATATTTGGTCTTACCCAGCTGGCAGCTGTTTTTTCCTGGTCTTTCTTTGTCTAAATGTTGGAGTACAGGTCCAGTCTCAGAACTGGATTCTAGGCAGACCAGGCGTGACATGGCAGCCATGGGATGCTCTCATTTACTTGGGGTTCAAGTGTGTGCACCCTTGTTAACACATGAGCACTCACACATGTTTATACATGCATTTGTAAGTGTGAACACACACATACATGCACACTCACATACGCACATGCGTGCACGCACACACACAGTCCCCAGTGGACACAACTTGCCCACAGGCTCATTAGAACCATCTCAGCGCTCTCAGAATTTGTTAGTAGCTCATCTTTTTTCATTCTTTCTTTCATCCTTTTTTTTCTTTCTCACTACGTACCCCCGACTCTCCTGGAACTCACTATGTAGAACTACACAGATTCTCATTGATCCTTCCGTCTCTGCCTATTCAATGCTGGGATTAAAAGCTTGCGATGCCGTGTTGATTGAGGAGTTCATCTTTTAAAATCCTGAGTGACTATCGATGATTAATGTTTATATATCTGGTCTCCATTTGGTGGAACTGTTTGGGAAGGATTAGCGTATGTGACCTTATTGGAGGACGTGTGCTATGGAGGGTGAGCTTTGCAGCTTCAAAAGACTCACACTGTTTCCAAGATGCTCTCTGCTTCTTGTTTGTGGGTCGAGAAGTGAGCTCTCGGCTCCTCCTGTGGCTGTGTCGTTGTTCCGCTATCACAGGTGCTAGCCCTCCGGAACTGGAATCCCAGCTAAAGCTTTCTTTTTCTATAAGCTGCCTTGGTTGTGGTGTTTTGTCACAGCAACAAAAATGTAACTGTGACGCTGCATCCGTGTGTCCGTCACTGGCTGATGTGGGTCTAGAGAGTAGATACTGGAGTGTCCAGGCTCTTGGACCTCTCTCCTCTTTACAGTGCACTGTACAGAGACACACGGATAGTTACAGGGGTGGAGGAAGTTTATTCAAGTGGAGACACTGGAGGCCTGGAGGTGTGCCATGTCGCCCCTGTGGCCCAGCTCCAAGACAGAAGAGCAAGATGGGCTGAGGTGAGGCCTCTGCTAACATTAAGTGAGCCACTAACCCAGTGCCCTCCTCTTCCAGGTAAGGAGAGGGCTGTTCAGAGCATGCTGTCCTGGATGAATGAAGCTCAGGGGGACTAAAGGCCACAGTCTTTCCCCACTGCCTTTTGTGTGTCCATCTTTGGAATTTCCTCTACTGTTTTCCAGCCTCCTGGCTGCTCAAGCCTCCGCAGATCAGGGCCAGCTCTCGGCTCAGGCTCCAGACCACCACCCACCTCCTGGCAAGGCCAGGGAAGGTAAACAAGGAAGAGCTTGCACTAGAAGGCCAGGAGAGCCAGTGCTTGAGCCCAGGGGCAAGGGGCCTGTTGACACCCACAGGCAGCTGGCCAGGCCCCTGACAGCCACACTGCCACCTCCTTTACAGAATGACAGCTGAAAGCTTGATCAGCCAAGCCTCCACGAAACCCCGAATGGCTCTGTTCTTCATTCTAGGCTTCTGCTGCAGGAACCAAAGAAGTTGTGCCAAGCCCATCCTGCTTGGGGCTTGGCACACAGCAGTCGCCCACAAGTGCTCTGCACTCCAAAGGCAGCTTCAGGGGCCAGCAGCTGAGTGTGTTGGTGCTGTAACAGAGCACAAAGCCACAAGGCTGAAAAAAGCGGGGCCACAGTGGGCTCATCCTCTCTGGGTGGGGGCAGCCTCTGTGGGTGCTGATTTTAATTGGAGTGGAGGCAAGAGAGACAAATGTTGGGATTTTTGTTTTTAACCTGAGCTGAGACATAGAAGGAGGTAACCGCTGGCTGTGAAAAGAGCCTTGGTCATAAACGCATTTATCATCAATTAACACCTCCAGGTCCTGAGGCTGGCCGAGCAGCTGGCACCAGCAGCAACAGTTTTAACACCACACTGGCCTCTGCTTCTCCCTAAGTGGATGTAGAGTAGCTGAGTGATTGCTAATGTGTTCTTAGTTAATATAGGGCGGAGGTGAGTTCCAGGACAACCAAGAAGGCACTTCTCCATTGTCCCTACCCCTGGGGCACTCACATGGCAGAGTGACCCGGAAAAGTCTAAGAGGATAGAATGTGCTTGAATGTTTAATTACTCGCCTGCCCCTGAGGGAAAAGGGCATGGGCTTTATGTTTTACACTTTAAAATGTATTTTAATAAGTCACCTGTACACATCGTACAAGTAAATAATCTAAACCAATGTGCAGAGAAGGCCCTCCCCCTGCCTCTGTCTGTCGTTTTGAAGTGTGTATGCGTGTGTATGACATGGGGGAAGGGGCTCATATGCCACAGCATGCATATGGAGGTCAGAGGAAAACTTGGTGAAGTCATTTCTCTGGGGCCTCGAACTCAGATCCCCAGGTTTTTGTGGCAAGCATCTTTAGCCACTGAGCCACCTTGCAGGTCCCTGCCTCTTGGAAATTGTCTGCCTTCCACGGCGATCCTGTTTCCCAGGATCGAATGGAGCTATTTCTGGCGCACGCGAGGTAGGACACTTGAGTTTGTTACATGAAGGATAGTGTGCTGTGCCACTGTTTATTTAACCCAGTTGCAGAATGTCAGGCGTTCGGGTCTGTGTTTAGTCTTCAGGGAGTACAGGCGATGCTGCCTAAAGAGCTTTAGGGGTGCACACGGCTCCCACCTGCGTGAGCATACCTCCCGACGAGTTCTCAGAGGCTGAGCTCTCAGGTGGGGAGAAGCCTTTGTAATGTTGATCGATAACTGTCAAATCATGCTCTGCCACAATCGCTCTATTTAGCAAGCAAGCAGCCGGCAGAAGGATGCGGTTTCCAGACATGCTTCAGATACAGCACGTGAGAAAAATGTGACAGTCCCGAAGGTGAATGGCGATACCTCGGTTTAGATTTCAGTTGCCTCTTTTTCCCATTCTGTGGAGTTAAGCCTCTCTTCAGATGCTTATGATATTGTATTTCGGTCTCTGCGCCGCAGGTGCCAGGATGGCCAAGTGATCTAAGATGCCAGGCTCCATCGCCACATCGCGTCAGCTCTTTCTTTTTGCCTGTGCTTGCATGGGACACTTAGGTTGTCGAGGGCTTGTTTTCAATTGATTTATTACAATCTTTAAGCTAGGGATTTGCCGGTTGTGTGAGGTGTTGATTTTAAGTGACTGTCAGGTGGAGTTATGTGTTTATGGGAGGTTTGGTCATGAGGACTGTGCTGATTAACCTTCAGTGTCAACACGACTGGATTTGGGGTGTCTCTGAAGGTGATCCCAGAGAGGCCTAACTGAGGAGGGGAGACCCAGCCTGTTTGCAGGTGGCACCAATCTGTGTACCGGGATGCCAGACTGAATAAAAAGAGGAAAAGGAAGGCCGGAGATTGGTTGGCATTGCCTGCTGTCTGCTTCCTGGCTTGTTCACACATGGGGAGTCCCAGCTGTCGGTGGCCTCTGCCATTTCTTCCCTCCACGATGGACTTCACGCTATCAAATCCTCGCTAAATTAAACCTCCATCCACTGCTCTTCCACTCTGAATGCACTCTCTCCATCGCATGCAGTCTAGCTAGCCAGCTTGTCCGTCCCTGGAGCTGAGATTACAGGTGGCCACCACACCCACTGACACGCACGTGGGCACGCCACACCCACCAACACACATGGGCATGCTACACCCACCAACACACGTGAGCACTTGGGATCTGAATTCTCCTCACACCTGACTGGAGCCATCTTCCTAGCCCAAAGTTTCATCTTCTAAATGCAACTGATTTCATCAGCTTCCCCCCTTTTCAGCTTTGCATTTTTGTGTGTTCATATAAAAACATTCCCCCCTACAAGATGAAAAAGACTTTTCTTCTAGTTCTTTCAATTTATATGTATGTATTTTTCATTATGTATCTCACACTCTGTTTTTGTTTTGTTTTTTGCCCTGTTGTCCCACTGCCGCTCACCAACTAGCCCACCTCTGCTCAGGGACTCCAAATAACATCTTGACCTCAGCCCTTGACTGTGCTTAGCTCTTCTCTGGGTTTCTCCTCTGAGGAACAAGGGTGCTTTTTAATGAATTACATGCAAAGGCTAAGCTTAGAAGCCCAGACTGGGAAACAACATTCTTATAAATGGTTTAACATGTAGGAATTGCTTCTTGCTTCAGAAAAATCCATGTTCTTTGTGTTCTGAGATTTCCATTTTATCACATTTTTTAAAAGTAAAAGATTTATTGGGGTGCTCATGCACTTGAATGCAGGTTTCTGTGGAGTCCAGAAGAGAGCATCAGATCCCCTGGTCCTGGAGTCACATCAGACAGTTGTGAGCCACCCAAAGCCAGGTCCTCAGGAAGGGCAGTGCTCACTCTTAACTCTGAGCCTTCTCTCCAGCCCACTATTCTATCACATTTTAAAGCCTGCTTCCCCTCATCTGCTCCCTTGTGACTAGTCCCTGCAGCTTTAAACAGAAGAGTTCCTGCTGCTTGCCCTACATGAAAATGTTCCATCAAAATGACCTAACTCAGGAGGATAACAGAAAGAAAGGAGGAAGGAGGAGGGAGCCTAAACCCCAGGCAGGAGCAGAAGACTTCCCCATTGGGCCTCTCGGAAAGGCAGGATGTTGGCTGTTGATGCCCACCGGAAGCCTTGACTCTCCCCTTGGGGTCCAAGTCATCTGGTTACTCTGGTTTTCTTCCTAGTGGTCTTGTGTGAGACAGAAGGAGATACCTGTTTTAGAAGGCTGAAGCAGGACTCTTTGGAACCGGACACCATCCATGTGTGGACAGGTGCCACAGCCCCTGAGGAGCCATGTCTGATCCAGGGTGACGTAATTGTTTCCTGTTACTACTTCAGGCAGCACGGGGCTTCCAGCAGCACTGAGGCCCCCTGTGGCTCTCAGCACACACTGGAGCGCTTTGTATCAATTCTATTTTCTTTTTTTTGATTCGTTTTACTCATGTGTGTGTACACGTGCCTGTGTATTATATGCATGCACATGCATGTGAATATGGGCACCCATGGAGGGCATCAGATGCCCTGGAGCGGGAGGTACAGGCAGTTGGGAGCCACTGAGATGTGGGTACTAGGAAGTGAAGGCCAGTCCTCTGCAAGAGCAGCAAGTACTCTTAACAGCCGGGCCATCTCTCTGTCCCTAGTGCCATTTTCTCAATGTTTTTGTCTTTACTTCCCCAACCTCCAAAGAAGAATTTAATCTGTCGGCCCACCACTATAGACAGCTACCAGAAAGAAAGAATTATTTAAATTAACTTTTCTTCTCTCTATGTAAGTATAAGAGTGAGGGATAGTTAGTTCGTAGAGTACTTGCCTAGCCTGCATGATGTCCTGGATCCAATCTCTTGGGCTGCATAAGCCAAGCATGGTGGTACACACCTGTGATCCTAGCACTGGGGAGATGAAGGCAGGAGGACCAGAAAGTCAAGGTCATCATTGGCTTCATAGAAATTTCTGGGCCAGCCTCAGTTATGTGAGACCCCATTTCAAAAGCCAAATAAATAAATAATTTAAAAGTGTATTTCAATTTACAAATGTATTGTGGTCAACTGCTTATAACTATACACAAATTTTTTTTGAAGCATCACCCTGAGTTAAAATCATCTCAGCAAGCCCTCTTGACAGCTCTGGGAGCAGGAATTATGAATTTACTCACAAATGGGCAAGGAAACAAATGTTGAATAAAGCATAGAACTTGATTCCACAGCTAGTACAAGAACATGGAGAGTCGGGCCCAGCGTGTGTAGGAAATGTTCCCACTTACATTGTGGTCCATGGCCCTAAGCCTTGTCCTTACTGTCTTCTCACTCATAGTGTGACTGAGGTTTATCCCCCAAAGGTTCATGTGCTAAAGTTTAGTGTAGAGGCGCTGAGGTGGTAGGATAGTTAAGGGGTGGAGTCTACTAGTGGGCGACAGTTAGGACGTGAGGCGTGTTAGGATACGGAGTGTTCTATCGTTATTCTCGGGGGACCATGTCAGGTCTTATGGATCAATTCTTCTAGGGATGGTTTCTAGATGAGAACCTGAGCCTTTCTTTGAATCAATCGCTTTGCTGTACTCACCACCTTCACCACAGGTGACTTGATGACCTTACCAGAGCCAATGCCCTGCTCTTGAACAGTCAGAACTGTGAACTGAATAAAGCCCTTTTCGTTAGAAGCACTCCACCTCCTATATTGTTACCATAACACAAAAAGAGACTATGAAAGTCGCTCTGAGAGAGACCTGATATCTTAATATTTTTATTTGCTTTTGGCTGCATATATGTTTGAACATTTTCCATGTTTTATAAATCATTTGTCTTGATTTTCCTACTGTCTTTCCCCATTTTTCAATGTCTTCTCCTGTGTGTGTGTGTGTCTGTCTGTGTGCATGTGTGTATATGTGTGTCTGTCACATATATTCTTCAATTTTATTCTTAACTTTTAACTCTATTGTAGTTATCCAGGCCTGAGAAATTTTAGATAAACTTGCAGTGCTCCTCCTGCATCTGTGTCTTGGGCTCTGACACTGCAGTCATGAACCATCATTCCCAGCTTGTTCCCATTATTTAAGAGGTAATGTCCCTCCTGTGTAAGGATAAATGTTCACTCCTATCTTTAAGGTGGAAAGTGGATTTGCTTTCTGCATTTAATTCCTTACTCTGTCCAGAAGTTATTGGCAATCCCCCCCCCCCAAAAAGTCTATTTAGAAGAACCTTGAGCAGCATGTCTGCATCCTTTATTTGCTCAGACACACTTGCTACCTGGAAGAGTGTTTTCTCATCATCCAATTGTATGTGTGTCATGTCTCATATCCGGACTAGAGACTGAGGGTCATGCCCAATAGAGACACGAATTCCAACTAAAGCCACATTAACTTTTAGAACTCCCTATTACTGAATACCTTCAAGTCCATGGCATATAAATCATTGGTTGTTTTTGTTCACAGAGCCAGACAGTTGCTCTGAATTCTCACTGAACTGTAGAGCTGTGTCTACCATGTAGCTAGAGCTTGATGTGTAACTTCTCATCTTTCAGTATTATTCCTGTTTGCATCTCCAGGTATGAGAGAATTCCATCTGACCCCTAACTCCAAGCCCCTAGAGCATGTTGGTGTCTTGGATTCAACCATGTCATTATTGGACATTTGAGTTCTTTTACACAAAGGTGACTACCCAACTGACCATGCCTGAACCAGTACATTCTTCTTGGCTGTATTTTTAAATTCTCAGAATTTTTCTTAACAAATATTACATCTGAATGTTTATTGGTGTTGGTTTGAGCTTCTTATTTCATCCTATTAAAACCAGTTTGAGTCTCA